TCCCATTTGAGAACAAGCAGTGTTTTGCTGCAAGCATTTATAAAGGTGCATGATGCGATGCTGGCAGATTATTTATATACACAAACGTTTCTGAGCCAGAGACTCGGCGCAGAATCGCTGTCTTTATCAGTCATTACTTATCATATGTTTCGCTGCGGGGGTGTAAATTTGTGCAGCGCCGTTCATTTTCTCAAGAAATGAAATCAAATCTCTTATTTCTGGATCAAATTAAAGCTCAGTGAGTCATGTAGCTGCTTCTTTCTTCCACCTCTCTCTAGTCAATGTTGAGTCAAGGTCAAGTGAAAGACAAATGGAAGATATCGGCTATATTCTTCTTTTTTGTTCCCAGTTGGGACTGTTGACCTTAAACCAATCTTTATGAGAATACAAATGAGCTTCCATACGTCCATCGGACTTATTTAGATAGATTTATGTTTGCATTTTTACACAAAAATCACAAGCTGAGGCAAACAAATATCAAAAGACTTTAAAAGGGAGCTCCTTCTATCCTGCACATCAAAGCCGGTTTACAGGTTTATTGGAGAACTTGTTCTATATGTGGTGAAAATGTTGTATCCAAATTGGATAAATTAAAAACTGTCAGCTGAGGACAAAGGCTACAAGCTTGAAAATGAACCCAAAAAGACAAGCAGGTTCAGTGGACCCCTGCAGATGTTTCTCGTCTGCTCGAGGCTACACTCGCCTAAACTGTCAGAGGTTGACTCATGATGTGACTGATTAACAGGGTGAGTGTTGTGGTGCACCAGATTGAGGATCTGTGCTTGTGTTTTAATTCTGCTATTTAGTCACAGGTGAAGAGGTGGGGTTGGCATTAGGTGTGGGCAGAGTCTCCTATCTGGTTGTCCTTTCCACACCTGTCCTGGATTCAGTCATCATGTGTGGGTATTTAAGGGCCGGAGGTTGCCTCAGTTCCTCGTCAGATTGCCAAATGGAGCTTGTGACAACCCTGTTACCGGTGATTAGTGTTCCTATTCACCTGTTAACCCTGGTCCCTCTTCTGTTTTCAGTTACCAGTCACATGCCCTAGTGAATCATCTGTTATCTTGGCCAAGGATGTTTGGAATGTAGACTGGAGCATAAGAGAATGGAACCACCAACCTTCCAATAAGTAGAGGACCTGCTCTACCTTCTGAGCTATAGTCACCCAAACTGAGGTATTATTAACGCTGTCTCTCTTTACTTTTTCACCAACTTATAAATAAACACTTGAAAGGCATAAACTCCTTTCTAAGTCTGCTTTCTGGGTCTGTGACAATCCTTAGATGAATATGAAATAAGATCAACTAATGTGAGACTTCAGCAATAATCAGCACTAAAATTATTGCAAGCCACACTGTGTGACACGGATCTAGTAAACTTGGTTAAAAGATCAGGTAAAATCACAGTACCTGGTGAACTGTGGTCTAGAACAGGATTTATGGTCCTGTGTTATTACCCATTTACTTAGCTTGTTAGCTTTTGAGGTACTGCAGCCATGAAACTGCTAACTTATTCCCCATTTTGGAAGTATGATAATCCAGGGTCATGTGAATGGGGCATCAGTGACACACAGGTCTAGAAAACTGGTCCACAACCATCTGGAAACTGGATTTTTCACTAGAAAGAAATGTGTATCGTGTGAGTGGTTGTTCAAAACCTCCTTTCGATTGCTTTGATCGCTAGCATATTGGTGCAGTTGTTGGTAGTTTTCATGGACTAATGGAAGTTGTCTGCAAAGTGTGACAGAAAACAAAAGAGTTCTCTGTTTGAGGTTTGAGTCACACTTTTCCAAATTTTACAGCCCCTCGGTTAGTATTTAGCAAGTCAGCGTCCTCCATGCATACAACAGGCAATCTGCTAGTGACCAAATCAATCACAAGGAGGTTTGTGGTGCAGCACTCTGTTTCTGGCAACGAGCAGCCCCCAGAAACCCAACCAGTCAGGGTATGCACATTTCTCCCTGACGTTCGGCAGTTGTGTAGCATCCATTATGGTGGACAAATCTCAAGCAATATGGACATGACAATATTCAAGAAACCTTCAACCAACAGAGCCTAAGGAGATGCACTTTATTTGCATTTCTCCAAAAACCCAAAAGCATGAACCTAATCTCAAAGATTCCAGGTTCACATAGACCAGTTGAAAAGTTGGTGACAGGAAGGTTTATCACAAAGAGGAAAATGTAGATAGACAGCATGCATGCAGTGGAAAGCTTTAATTGCTTTTAATGAAGAAGTTCTCTGTAGAGGACTGCTGTCTTTTCCACAGCAGAGGTTAACATAGTAGACCAGCAAACATGAACAGCAGTAGCCCACATTACCAGTGGTTCGACATACTTTTAGCACCGCTCAAAGGTGACAGCACACAGCTGTAGACACGAGCCTGTAAGGCTCAGTGTATAGCGCCTACAGACTACCACTCTCGAAGCTCAGTTTACACAGCTCTTATACCTCTGCTGTTTCTTTCGATGCTGTCCTTGGTGAATGTTCATTTCAAAAATACACTGCAGCCCTGAACTTTTCCAGACATCCTAGCTGAGGTTCGCATAAGAATGCAAATGTCCAGAAGCAGTCAGATTGGACATTAGCCAGTGTTTAATCTGCCAACTCCCTAGTACAATGTCAGAGAAACGTTCTTCTTAAGAAGAACTCAGTAAATCATCTTAAATGCTTTCAGAAAATGAACAAGGTAGGAATAGACCATCTATTTCCTTAGCTGCTTATTTAGCTAAGCGCCATGAGGTAGCTAGACAGGTCACCAGTCACAGGCCCATCACACAGAAAACAATAGAATCACCAATTAACCTTAGAAGTATGCATTTGGACTGAGGGAGGAAGCTGCAGTCCAAAGACATGCTGCCCTTTGATAAGCCCACACATTTAAAATTGTCTAAACTAAAATGGACTTTCAGTAAGCGCTTCATTAATTGGCCACAATGCTGCTAATAGAAGTATTACAGCACATCTGGGCTCTTTGTCCATGAATTTGGGCCAACACTGTAAAAACCTGGGTGTCATATCTTGACAGCCACCTCAATTGGAATATGAATATCAGTTCAGTTGTCCAGTCATGCTCTGTTTTCTCTTGTAGACCGTTATTAAGTCCTTATACACAAAGACATCTACACAAAACTACAGCTTGTCCAAAATGCAGCAGCCAGAGAGCACATCAGTCATGTTTTAGCTTCTCTTCAGTAGTTACCTTTTCATTTGATGATTGATTTTAAGATTTGATTGATGGGTTTTAAAGCCCACTGTGGGCTCACAAACTAAGTGTATCTCAGATCTTCTGACACCTTATATGGAAGGATACAGCCTGAGATACCCAGCCAGGGTTCTGCCAGGCCTATCCCAAGAATGTAAATTTGTAAATGTGTTTTAAAAGGTGTCATATAAATAAAATCTCTTACTGTTATCACAAATCAGTGTCAGCAAGCTGTGAACAAATCATAAGATAACTATAGTAATAACGCTTGATTCTTGCTTTATTGTCTCTTGGCCTAAAGTTGGCATGGGAGGGAAAAATGGCCACGGGGTACATGCTTCACTGGAGTAAATGTTTCTCATTCACATGTATATGAAAAATACTTTATTTTAAAACACTTGGTATGTGTGCAGTATTTTTGCACCGGGTGTAGGAGGTGGTGTTTGTATGTAGGATGGTAAATGGAGTGGTACTTATAGAGTGTCTTTCTACTCTCTACTACACTCTGCTACATGTCTCATCCTTCACTCTAAGCGCTTTCTAACATTCATACACACGGATGTATCAGGGTTCAGTATCTTGCCCAAGGATATGTCTACATGCGGGCTGGAAGAGTCAGGGATTGAGTCATCAACATACCCTCTGAGCCACAGCTGTATCCTGCTTGTATTCTATTGTGACTTTAATAAGGACTCTTGGGAGATATAAATCTAAAGGGGATCCAAATAAACAGAAAACAGAAAAACAATAAAATGTACAGAAAACACATCTGTGATAAATGAAAGGGGTAAAATAAGAAATGATTTCACTATTAAACTCTCTGCTCCTGTATGTACAGAAATAGTTTGTTTTGGATGGAACTCTCTGCAAAAAGGAGAAGAACTAAAAAATAATTAAAGGCGGGAGGAAACAGCTCACTCAGTACTATACATCATTACATTTCTTTGTGTGAGTTTTTGTTTTCTTATTATTTAACGTCCTGGCTGGGATTGAAGATAAAACCTTCCCTGTGTCATTAAATGAGCAAAAGAAGAATTTGCGTTTTCCAGTTTATGTTTAAGCACACCACAGGAAACACTGAGAAGTTATAAAATCAACGATATATTGAATTGAAGTGGAAGAAACTAAGAAGATATAAGCTTATATTAAAATCTTCCATCTGTATTTTTGTACTTAAAATCGCTGTCTGTGTATGAAGAGAGTTCATTCACAGCTTCAGGTTCAGGGGGAATGAGTTGTCTGAAAGCAAAATGAAAATATTAGCATGCCTTCATTATTTCATTCTTGAGGGTTTAGTACAATGTTTGGAGCTGAAGATTTGGTCACTCCAAGGCTGTTGCCAGCCCACCTACACCACAGACAGTTATATAATGTTTTACAAGGGCTTTATTAACCAGAGAGAGTCTCTGACAAAAGGTCTCATCAGACAAAATCTACTCAATTTGGGCTCAGTGGCTTAACCTGTTGCACATTGTGATCATTTTTTTTTTCTGTTTTACAGTTCAGGGTCAACTAATTTACATCTGTAATTTGATGTAAACTACATGTTTTTACTGTTGTTTTTGAAGTGAAAAAGCACTCCAACCTCTGAATTTGTTGGTGCCTTAAAACAATATACAGATGTTTTGTGCCAAAAACTATACAAGTCCACACCCTGACTGGGAGATGAGGGTAATATCTGTGCCTTTAAACAGTTTTAGGTTATAACATTTTGCTCACTGGACTCTTCTCACTCACCCCCAGAGCTCCCCTACAAGCCATCTTTCCAAACTTCCACCTGTAGTCATGCCTCTTACCTGCAGCCAGCTGCATCCAGCCGCAGATCTTGTACACGGTGCCGGTGCTACAGAAGAAGAAGAGCGCGAAGCAGGTGATGCAGGTGAGCACCAGCGCCATGGACATGCCGATGAAGAAGGAGGCAGCTTTGAACGCACCGGAGGGGATGCTGCTGAACTCGGTGAAGCTGCCCTGACAGGTCAAGTCCCGGGACAGCCCGTTTCCAATGCAGTAGTGGAACAGACCGAAGTAGCCCGCCTGCGGCGTATCCACGCCATCCCCGATCCAGTACGGCTGGATGAAGCACACCACGTTGACGATGGCGAAGAGAATGGTGAAGATGGCCCATAGGACGCCGATGGCGCGGGAGTTGCGCACGTAGTTGGTCTGGTAGATCTTGGCAGCCTCGGATGCGGGGAGCATGGTGGTGGTCGTGCTGGGGGCCCCGGGGACCATAATGTGAGGGTGGTCTGCGCGGTCCTCGGGATCTATCAACCTCCTCAGCAAACTAACATCTGCCTCATCTGACCACAATATCCCGCACAACTTCTCCCTGTCGCTGCTCGCGGATTTTTCCCCCCCTACTGTCTGTTCAGTCACAGTTATCACAGCATCACTACGCTCTCATCCGTGGCAAGGTCGGTGTTTGATTTCTTTTTGCTTTTCACTCATTAGTCGGCAGAATCAAGACATGCGCTCCAGGGAGAAAAAAAGACGAGCTCTGGGAATCCAAAATTTAGGGGATTTCTTCCATATTTGCCTTCATGTGTAGGTTATGTTAAAATGTCTCTGCCTGAATCGTGTCCGCTGTTCCGATAAACCGTCTCAGCTGTGTGCACGGCTCTCCCTGAAATGGTCAGCCCGTTCTCGACGCCGACAGACCGACAGCGCAGCTGAGCTCCTATTGAATTAGAGTTGGAGGATAGCCTCGGATAATACAGGGCCAACCCACATCCCTTAATCCCACTCTGACGTACAGTCACCCGCGAAATCTTAAACAGACACTGATTTTTTTTTTCTTCTAGAGCAAAGCGATTTTACGCCTGATCACTGGGACAATAATTGTATGGAAATTAGTGGATATAAACGCATCTGCTATTCAAATATTGATAATCAAATGCCAAGATGCAGGGTCTTTTCTCTAATGTTTTACCTAGACTGGTACATTCTTTAAACTGTAGCCCATTTTCTGGTCTGTGATATTAAGCTTTTTGAGCACAAAGACTAGATCAGTAGGCTACAACAACGATTTATTATATGTATTTCTTGCAACTGGCAAAAATAAATAAATAACAAGAAAAATAATAATCATAATCTCACATCAAGAACGAAACGTGCAGGATATTACGTCTTTTTCATCATTATTTTGCTAAAAATATTATATTATAATATTACCTTAAGCATTACATTGATATATAAAATGATTTTTTTGTATTCCATATGGATGGATGAGTGGATAAGAATGTAGCTGAAGATTATGTATCTGAGTGAGTGATTAGCTAGAGAGAAAGAAATAACATTTTTTTAAAAAGCATCAAATTGAAATAATATATACTTTTAATATTATGATGACTATACCTTCTTCTGTTTTGGTTATGTTAGTGTACTACCAGTACACTGCAATGTACCAGATTACATCAGATGTTACCCATAGATTACTAGAATGTATGTTTATAAGTGTGTGAAAGCACAATTAAATATGTTGCAGTATGTAAGACTTGCTTTGATCCACGTTTATTGGGAAATATCGCAAATAGTTATCTTGAATCCGCAGTGAATTTCTAATGTGCTTGTTTCACTCCCAAAACTACATTACCCAGAATTCGTGTCTCACTTGTGATTCGCTGCTACCGAATGACAGCATGTGACGCAATCTGAAGGCGCGCGCGAAACTCCAGCAAGTGGTCTTGACTGAGTTTAAGGTGTTTCGGACTTTAACTGAAGACTTCTTCGCATTTTAAGTCTTAAAGACATTTTATTTACCGGCATGAATGTTTCCTCAGCACCCTATGGTTTTTACAGCACATAATTTTTGATGATATACTCCTTTGACTCATTTTCTTTGTCTGAACAACGGAGTTCATTCGTCGTCTGGTTGGAGTTGGACGAGCTGAAGCTAACGTCAGTCAGTTGTTTTTAGCAGAACTCTGCTGAGCTCACCTACATAAACGGTGTGGTGGTAGCATGACGGCGCTGTTGCAGCACCCGGGATACGATGAGGAGAGGTTGAAGGGGGTAGCAGAGAAGTTGCCCTGCAGAGAGGTCCAGGCTGAAATGTTGCTGTCGCTGATGGGGCAGGTAAGAAGTCTCCACTCATCTCCGTTTAATGTTTTAAAGTATACCACATTAAAAGAAGCATATACACATGCTAATTCAGTTTTTAACGTCCTAAAAACTCAGTGTTTTATGTGTTTGATTTAAAAAGTTTTATCACTGATATATGATGCATTAAAGACCATTTTCACTCTTTTACAATTTTCTAGTATTATTATTATTACTACTATTATATTTTTTGTTTTTATAAAAAAAAGTATAGGAAAAATAAAAGTCATTTTCCTAAACCTTAAATCTCAATATCTCAGTAGCTCAATGTCATTTTCTTATTTCTAGGGTTAAGTTTTGCATTATTTGTGTTATCCAGTGTAATTTAGTAAATATGTCGACATATTTGGATCATCTGATGAGATTTCCCTTTAAAATTCATTGTTCAAAATGTTTATCTTAGATTATAAAATGTAGATCTGAAGCTTTGGACAGTTTAGTACCAGTAATTGATGTCTGTCTTGGATTAAAATCATTAATAGATATGCAATTTATTTTTTCCTTGTTATAAAAATTAATTACTTGTCATTTGATCTCACTCAGGGTTTTAAATAGATTCGTTAAGTAAGCTGAGTCTATGAGCTGTTAGCACTATGGCTGATTACTGACATTAACACTGGGTTTAATCATATCAGAGCTTGGCTGTTATTACTTTGCGATGTGCTGATGAAAGCTGATAGAAGGTTTAAGTGGATAGTGGTCTTGATCGAGTGAGACAGTTCTACTGAGTGTAAAGATGCTGAATTTTGTTCTTCCAGCCACACCAGTACAGCTACCCTTCAATCCTCATTTACGGTCATCGAGCCTCAGGGAAAAGCCACGTGATGCACGTTTTGATGAAGGAGCTGGAGGTGAGGGAGATATCTGCTATTTAGTGAACGTTCTGAATAATGTTCTTATGTGTGCATGCTACAGGGCCCTGTATTTAAAACCATAAAATAAAAACTAACTTCACTCTTAATTCCCCTCATACATGGCAGGTAAAAGTGCGATAAAGGACAGACAGCTAAATATTATTGCACTGGCAGTTACTTGAATTAGAAAAATTTGACTTATGGACTCCTTTAAGCCTTTATAACTTTAATAAAAAGTTGACACTTGTGTTATTAAGAACTTTTTCTTTATTCAATCACTTAAAGAGTCCTTGAAAATACTTAGTTTTACTGAAAGTACAAAATCACACAAGAACACAAATCTTTGCATAGTTTGAGTGTGTGTAAGGTGCATTTTTCCCTTAAAATCCCTGGGAAAAAACATTAAAGAAAAGCAACAATTTTACTGCTAGCATTCTTGTATAAATTAAATTTAAAGATCAAAGACCTTCAGATGTTTTTCTCTCTTTGCACACATACTTTATGCCAATGCACTCAGTATAGATGGGTAATGGCTACCAAAGAAGTCTCTTTCTTAGAAAGCAGCTATTTTTTTTTTTTTAAATATCCAAATATTTTTAATATCCAAATATCTAGATAGTCCTATTGAGACTCAGCGTCTCATTTACAAGAGAGACCCGTTTCATCTGCAGTGAGTTCTACTGTAATTTTGTGCAGAGCCTGATGTTAAACATTTAAAGGAGACAACCTGAACTGTGGTGCATGCCAGCATGCTATCCTGTGCCACTGAGGGTGTCCATATCGCAGCAAAATAAATGTGGGGTAAAGCGTATGTTACTCTGGATCAGACCTGGACTTCCAAGAAACCCTCACCACCTTCAAAGAGATGTCTGGCAAATGTAAAACTCATAGCATGCTTTGTTTTACAGTTTAATGATACTCCATTAATGATCATATCTCGCATAGCCACAAAAATGTGACTTGACAACATGGAAGGCTTCTTCTTTTTTTTAAAAAATAAATAAATTCAAATATGGAGAATTTATAGCCTTCTTAGGACTATTGTTTTTTAAATCACTTGTTCTTGATCTTTTTGGTTCCTGCAGTTTCTGAATAATGTTTTACTCCCATCAGGTGGTTTCTCACAATGTGAAAATTTAATTGCCAACTAGGGCTGCAGCCTTTAATGCAGATTAATCCCTGATTATGATTTTGTTTATTATAGATGAATCCATATGTAGGGATG